CTGTCGTATCAGCACCTTTGCCAGTTCCACCACCGCCGCCGCCGCAACGGCCTATTAGACCACCAGGGGTTTATCGTGAACCCAACAACATGCTAGATCCGCCCGGGAAGAAAGGGAGGCGAAGAAAGTCTGTAGTCATCACATTCAAGTGCAATGCGCTCAAAGACCCATCGTTTTTTGATAATATGCGTATCAGAAAACAGGTAGGCCATGAAGAAGTTTCGCACCAGGCTGAATCTTCCATGTCAGAGAATCCAGCTCAGACTCCGTTGCAGACATCGACTTCCACAGTGCCAGAAGAAGCAGGAGAAGCTCAGACCGAAGCAGCCCAGACCAGACCAGTCCCGATAAAACGTGGTGGCAAAATAATGTACCGCTGCGAGAAATGCGGTAATAGTTGGAAGAATTCGAATGGTTTAGAATATCATTTGAACAAGTCAAGGTCTACATGTAACCCTTCTTACGTCCCGCCCCCTCCTCCACCTCCACCTCCCCCGAAGCCTGCACTCAAGCAAAAGCTGCCGAAGGTTCCTGAAGAACAGGACAAAGTGCGGACCCCAGCTCTGCAAAGGGTACTGGATTCGGCTCGTAAGCCTTCCCCTGGGATCCTGAACGGCGGGGGCCATCGTCCTCTTCTACCCTCTAAGCGTACTCGTCCAAGTGAAACCTCTACAGACATGCAGGACGCTGGAGAACCGCATACGGCCGATTCCATTCGAGGGTCTATCATTCTTCAAGATGTTGAAGCATATGACGTTATTGGTCATCGACGCCGGCGGGAAAGCAGCCATGTTGCGTCGTTGAATTTTGATACGGTTTCTCGACAACATCAAACAAACCAAGGGATATCGCAAACGACACCCAAACAACCATCTAGAAATAACGAACAGAAAACCACGCCGGCCCGAGGAAAGAACACTCCTACTACCAATGGTACAGATGTGGGTACTGCAATAACAAAGGGGGGGTTAAAGGCAGCGAGTAGCCAACCGAGCACCAAAGCTACGGGTCCAAACCGACAGTCGACATCAAAGAAACCAAAGTCATCTACATATACTGTCGGCAAACTACGCAAAGAACGTGTTTCTCATATCATCCATCATCTCCTCGATAATAACGATGGCGTCTTTCCTGGCCGAAAATCTTTGTACTGTGCTGTGGTAGCATTTTGGTTACAGAACCACAGTGACATAGAACCGCCTGACTGGAGGGTGTGTGAGAACATGGTGAAAACTATGGGAAAGGCCGGGGAACTGCAGCAGTACTTTTTCGGCTTCAAGGACTTCCACAACCAATTCCAGGATTGTTGCGTGATCGCAAAGAAACAACCAGGAGAAACAACTGGGATAGACATGGACAAGGTTGACATGGTCAAGGAAAAGATGAGAGAGATGTTCCCAACACCCTATATCCCAGAGGCATTTTCATTCTCCGAGGATGATAATGAAGTTTTTAACGCCCTCTCATCAACCTACAAAGATACTCATCGGTCGAACGGGACTCGTAGGCAAACCCAAAAGTCGAGCGTCACAGAGAACATTGAAGTCTTACAGTATCCGGCACACGTTATGAACGATATTGCTGCACACGCCCCTAGCTCAAAACGAGACGTAGTGGAAGACAATCTATCGGATGTAGCGCCTCCCAGAAAGATCCAAGCCAAGGACTCTGATATTAGCAGATCCCGGAGCACTCCAAAACCTCGAAAGCGACGCGAACATTGGGACCTTGGGTATGTCGCCAAATATTTCTGGCATCAAAAACATAACCCGGGCGAGAAATGGGACCAAAAACATAACCCCTTGCAAGACTTCACCACTGGGACGTGGTCAGTCTTGCCCCAACAAAAGAACGAATTGAAGCCTAACGTCGATTCCATCGTAACCTCACTTCGCAGTACTCGCGAAAATGCATTAGCTTCGGCACGAGAACGCTCACAAAACCAGTCGGGAGGTTCCGAAGCGATTCCCTGGAGCCATAGTTCTCCAGACGGAGACAGTGGCGATGCTCTGGATGGAACAGTACTCACTAGTTGGACGAACGTGCCGAAGCTCACTTTTATAGATCGATTCGTCAAGCCATTAACTTCTACATCATTCACACCTGAAGCTTTTGACTCTGAGGAGGACATTGATACAAGTCCAGTTCCCACGCAGCATCGCAGCATCGATGACAACAGCACGAGTGCTCTTTCTAATGAAGAAAATGAAGCAAATGAGGCCAATGAAGCTGACATAATGTTCACGGAGAGTGAATCAATCCACAGCATGCATCGCGGCTGCTGGCCTCGGTTGCCAAATGCTTTCTTCGAGTCGGATTCGACGGGGTTCACAATGGTAGGGGCCATGCCAGATGCGAAATGGTTTCACCTTGAGAATTTACCTCGTAGTGCCGAGGAAATCATCAAAGGCTACAAAGGCAAACTTCAATTCAACTGTTATGCTGATCCTTTGTACGGGAAGTTTCTACGAGAAGTGGAGACCATTGAGGACTGGGAACTGTCTCCCAAGGGAATTGAAGTCCTCTCACTTGGATCGATCGCGCCAGATTATATATTCATGTCCCTATCACCTGATATGTCAGTGACAAATATGAAAACCATCCCCCAAGTGGAATTTCATCAGGACCGCCAATTCACTGCGGAGAACCTAACGGATGAAATCAAGAATTCACCTCCTAGTGATGAAGATGTTGGCTTACCACCCCGTCCCACTAGGGGCAGACCCAAAAAGGGACAGTCTCGACCTCAACCCAAACGGCAGAGGATTGCCAAAGATGTTCGGGCGGCCACGGCCTCGCAGAATGTAATTCAATACAAGACACGGACATTGACAGCAATACCCATTCAGCATCGCGGCCGTGTGTTTAAACCGCCTCCTGACGACAAAAAGTTTAAACTTGGTAGTGAAGCAGAGCTTATAGCCGCGTTTGTAGTCTTCAAGACTCTTCTCGGAGGCGTCGATAGGAAGGCCGACCTCGGACTGATTTTGAAGACGCTCCCTAGATTCTCTCACTCCGCCTTGAAGAGATTCTGGCCTAAGGTCAACAAGGAACGGAAAACGTACATCGATGCGTTAACAACGAAGTTTCAATCGGCATTCCTCGAGGCATACGAGGCAGGCAAGTTTCCGCCCCTTAATTACGACGATATTGAATCCTATGACTGGCATTCTGTGATCATTTGGGCAACGAAGCTCGAGACCCACGAGAAGGTTAACTTACCCGACTCTCGTCGTGATTTAGACCAGGCCCATTCGATCGAGGATGTAGCCAACGAGTCTACAGATTGGAGAGAGACGTGGTTCACCACCCCGGCTTCTACTGTAGCCCGGGTCGAAGCCACGTCTGGCGAGCATATGTGCATCCCTCTTAGTGACAGTGTCGAAAATGACGAAGGAATCATGAGTCGTGCAAGGTCATGGGTTCGTTCTTTGTGTATCACCATCATAAGTGGCGCCCGCATGCCAGAGCAGATCCGCGCGAAACTCTTGAGACTGAGCAATATGAATGAGGCCGAAACGAACAAGCTCCTCAAGAAGGTGGTAGATCGGCTTACGTCGGACAGAGTAGCGGCAAGAAGCAAAGGAAAAATACTCGGGCAGTCATTGAGATTGCATGGAGTCTTCTCGAAGCAGCTCGCGAAGCCTCCTGCCGTTCAGAAATTGAGGCAGGCTACCAAGTTCAAAGCCATGCTAGACGAGACTTTCCGCCGAGGCGAGGCGTTCTTCCTACCGTATGCTGCTGACGACGGCACGATTATGGCAGTTATCAACCTCCAGGCCAACAGCCGTATCTACCTAGAACCCATCGGAATCCCTAGCATACCCTTTGGTTTCGAGCGTGGTAACTACGACGGCCGAACATATCCCAAGCACTATTATCATTTCAAGGTGAAGGTGTCGCCTACGGAGAACTACAAGTACGATGAGGATCTGCCGGTTCTCAAACAAGCCCTGCGTATGAACCCCCCAAGACAAGGGCCTGATGACATGATACCCATTTGGGTCGACTTCTTTGGCAACCTAGACAAACTCCGATGGGTCTCGTATCTCAGCATGGTGATTATGGCCATGGCCACCAAAGGCCCCCTGACCGCGGAGACTGCAAGCGTGCTTATGAAGCCGTTTGTTGAACCGTTCGAGGCCAAGCTGATCATGGACTGGATTGATTGTCTAGGGCTTCTGCAACGCTTCGACTCCGAAAAAGGCGCGTCGGTGGGTGAATGGTGGTGGTTGGTAGTAGGCAAACTAGTGGTGGATGTGGATGTGAGCGAGGCGTTGAATCCCCAAAGACGAAGAGGGTAAATCATTCTAACCTGTATTGCTACGGTATTTGATTTCACATGGTATTACGGCATGGCATAGGACCAAAAAAAAAGCATGGCAAAGGCGTTTGGAAGAATGAGGTATCCCAGAAGGCATGCTGCGAGGCATTGCTGGGCCTTTTATTTCCCTGAAATTGCTGTATTATCACACTAAATAGTCTCTCTGTTCGTTGATTTCGCTACTAGAGTCTAGCTTCTAGCTTATGCTTCACAATGCACGAATTCCCCTAATAAATGGTATTCGCAATATGACTGTTGTGCAGTAAGTGTGGACGGATTAGTCGTAAGTTAAACACTACACTAAGTTATTATCTAGCTTCACGGACTTCATTTACTATGGATTCTTACAAGAATTTTATGTAAGTTAAATTGGGCTTTGGGTAGGTAGTTAAATGAGCTGCGCATAAAGGGATAATGGCTGATCCAGATAAAGGATCCTAGATCAGTCCCGTATGGTAGGTAGTTCTAAAAAGACGGAATAAGAGTAATACTAGGCATCGGACCCTATGTGAGTAAGGTAGCTAGTAAAAGAATTATTACTCCTATTACGTACGGTCATCGGAATAGCATCATACGCAGTGGGTCACTCCTAGTCTAGAGCCAAACACCTAAATTACCTACCAAGGTTTGCTATTTAAGATTTGGTTGCAGCCGAGACCTTCAACCTGGAATTCAAGGTGCCATCGTCTAGTGGTAGGACAGCACATTGTGGTAAATATGGTCTCTCTAAAGAGCCGTAAAGCAATAGCTGTGCAAACGGCGGTTCGATCCCGTCTGGCGCCAACAATATTTTTCTTCTTTTTTTGGAACCGGGACTAGGTAATGAGTGAGTCATAAAGCCAGAAGCGACATGTGAGTTCTGCTTCCACCTAGGTGTAGAGATTATGACCATTGTTTTTGTCCTTATGAAGCATTACTTTTGTAAGACCCATAAGCCAGAGTGCCACCGCAGCGAGAGACAAAATTTCAGCAAGAATATTAAAGCAAAACACATCCTAGTTGAATACACGGTATCCATGCCCCTGAAGCATGTGGTGACCTACTACGCCCCTTGACCCCTTAACGCCAGTTGCCGATGCTTACTTGCTTACGCCTTGACCATAAACGCTCACTCAACGTCCAACCAGAAGCTTCATGAGCATGGCAATCAACAGAACTACTAACGATACAATAGCGTAGTCGACCCAGGCCGGTACCCCTGCGTTCGGATCTACCGGTCTTCGGCTCTGGGCTGTCGGAGCTTGCCCTACTGGATTCGGTAGTGGTACTCTCCCCGTTGGCGCCGGAACCCCTTGCGCTGGCCTGGCAGGTGGTGGTGCGGCAGAAGTAGCCGTCGGGGGTAGGATCACCCTCTCCGGCGCGGTCTGCACGAATCCCTCGGCCAACTCGGCGCTCTCGGCATCCTCCTTGGCACCTTCGCTGCTCTCACCACCAGCCTTCGCCTTCTCCATCTCGTCGCGGAAGCCCATCTTCAGCTCGGCGGGGACCTCGACCTCGTCTCTCTTGCCCTTGTTCTCGGCGTCGATCTCCTTGCACCTCTCCTCGCACTCGGCGACGATCTCCTGGTTGGTCTTGGCGCAGACGGCGCACCTCCAGGCCTTGCTCTCGGCGGCCAGCTTGCGGCGCACGGGGTCGGCGGTGTCGAGGCCGCCGAGCTGGCCGCGGGCGTCGGTCTCCATGAAGCTGCGCAGGGCGACGAGGGCGGTGCGCACGCCCCAGGCGGGCTGCCACGTCTCCTCGTGGTGGCCGCTGATGCTCAGGCAGATCTCGCGGTTGGCCTCGAAGCGGCCGCTCGGGGTGGTGAAGCGGAACGACGGCGGCCGCAGCGGGTACGTCGGCGGCAGCACGATCCGCCCGTGGTAGATGCCCTCGGCGAACGACGAGTTGGGCGGCCCGCGCAGCGTGAAGTGCCACTCGAACAGGTCCGACTCGAGGGGCGCGGCTGTGTAGTCGGGCGAGGGGGAGTTGGAGAGCTCGGCGGCTTCTTTTACTGTTGTTATTGTATTAAATACTGGCTACTTGGAGGATACTATTATAGATAGTAGAGAGAACGTACATATGCGCCTGATGGTGGGCGACTTGGAACTAAACTTGGGGGTGGCCATGGTGGCGTCCGGTGTTCACGATGTCTCTCTTCTGTCTCTGCTGGTGGCGGGGCGTAGGTGGTTATGGTATGGATCAACGCCAGGTCATCGCGGAAGGGAAGGAAATAGGTAGTTTTCGATAGGGGAACGGATGTAGAATTGTATAGAGTAATCTAAGGTATTAGAAGAGGGAAGGGTTCAACTATCAATTAAGTTTCTAGAATGCTTGATGGTACTATCGGATTCTTTAACCTCTACCTAAGGCCAGGTTGTCTTGATGCATTTCGGGATTCATGAATAGATACAAAGTCCATGATGAGACCCTGTACTATGTACGTAAGCTGCAACGCAACGCCGATAGCGATAAGGCAATGCAAATCATAATGAGCCCCTTAAAGGTCACGTGGCTTTACAGGTACGTGCCTCTAACTCCGAGGCTCTGATGTCAGTAAACTTCAACTTACCTAAGCCTCTAAGCTACAACATGGAAACCTGGCCCAACCCAGGAAAGCATGATAGTTGCTGTATTCCAAGAAGTTTTCCTATAATTGCTGTCACATCTGCCATAATATAGGTGGCGACCTTGGCCAAATACTAGGTACAAACACTTGAGGCAGCAGGTTACTGAGAGAAAAGAAACGATTAATTACCTGCAGGTAATGCAATACGTGGCCATCGTGTGTTTGTTCGGTCTTACATACCTAGGTAGGTATGTATTCTGCTCTTTGAGGAAGCATATTGTTTCTTGAGAGTCATCCCTAAAAGAAACACCATGACTCACAGTGATTATTTCTCTAATGGAAGAACTGAATCATTTCCTACGTAGGTTGATATCCATGATACTAGTTTTATCGTGACCCTTTTCTAAAACACCAATCCGGTTTGTCTCTGTTCCCACCAAGTAGCGAGCAATGCACGACTCTCGTCGCTTAGAACCTCTTCTATCTACTATCGAGAAAGAACAGACCCCAGTCTGTTGGTACTTGCCTAACCTTTTCACTCATCGAGCATTGATGAGAGGGCAGTTGCCTACATATTAAGTTTGAGTGCTTTTGTTTCAAACCTTCCATAGTAAAGTTGAGTACCACAGGTTACCACATACCTTCTCAATTAGCCCTCATCTAGCCACTTCAGGCAAAACCAGGTGGAGTTGTCTGTTACATGTACTTCAACTCTAGTATCCATCTCATGTATCACACACCTTCTACAATCAACCGTAAGGGCAATTGCCATGGGATGAAGAAAGCACACCAAAGAAGGTTAGTCACTCGAATAAACCAAGCGGACAACCAATCTCAATCTCTTACTCTTTCATTATTTTCTCTCGACACACAAGTCTCATTCCTCTTGTCCATCTCTCTTGTTACCTTCCAAATAACTGTCACTTGAAGAATCAAACCATCTAGAACTAGGTACTAAGATTCTCAGAGATTTATATCCTCCTTCTCCATCTTATTTCTATTGAGCCATCAGCCATCTGTATTGTTTCAGGCCGTTTAACCTTGACCTGAATCAACCAGTCTGCCATCATGACCTCCATACTGAGTGCAGTTTCGATTACCCCGACCCCGTGCCCAGTGTGCAAGAAATGCTTCGAAGGTCGCCGCAACCTGTTCATCCATCAAACGGGTGTAGGCCATATACCATGTAATCAATGCCAGTTCACCTTCCACCAACTCCAGGCGTTATGGGCCCATCAAGCTGAGGTAGGGCCTTCTTGCCGTCACACGCCTCAAGTTATATGACTATAGCTCACCACCTAACTATTTAGGCTCACAGGGCTTCCCAGGATCTCCTCTGCCCCGGTTGCGGCAATGTGTTTGTCACCGGTGGTGGTTGGGTGCAGCATGTTGAAAAGGGAGAGTGTGCTTATATCTTCAAATCCGATATGTCCAGTGTTTCGAAGGGTATGGATAAGATCAGTGAGGCTCTTCGTCCGAATCCTGGTGGTGCCACACGAGCAGGTCGCATCGACTTCTCTGGACCTTCTCACATCGCTGATACCTGGGGTGACTGGCAAGACGAGGCAGATACCCTACGCTTTGATGTACAGAAAAATCCTGCTGCCTTTCCGAGGACTGAGAAGCAGGAGTACTATGTTGGCGGCTCGAAGCAACCGGACCTACTGACCGGAGTTGATGCCGACGTTCTTGAGCAGCACCCAGGCAATGCTTGGGCACAGAAGAAGAACTTGTCGCCTGACAAGAAGGCACATAGTGCTACTCCGCCGCCACCCTTGAAACGGCCTGAGCTTCCCAGTCAATCCTCGGGTGGGCAAATCATTGACCCTGATAACCCGGCATTTAACGTGGCTGTCTTCTGGAACCCAATTTTAGAACAGTTCAGATGCCCCCATAAGAAGTGCAAGTAAGTATCCAAATGCTTGGATCCTACAAAGTTTCATGTCTAATATTCTCATAGTGGGAAGTTCAAAAACAAGGGAGCCCTGGTTGCTCACTTAAAATCCATGACACACAAAGGTGAACAGATCAGTTGCCCCACATGTAGAGATCAATTCACGTCCATTGCTGCCTGGATCCAGCACGCGGAGACGGTCGCCATGACTAGGTGCAAGATTCGGGATACGGAAGTCTACCCAATCTGCCTCCGCCTGGCCACCAACGGTGTTTTGGACGTTGACAAGATGGCTGAGGCCGTCAACGGCACCGTCAAGCTTAAGATCAACGATAATTGGGAGAAGGCCAAGCAAGCCGACAAGTCACTTGTACCGGGATCGAATCAATGGGCCGAATCCAAGCAAAATTCGAAGATGTCACAGAGCTCCAAGGTGTCACAGAGCTCTGGGAGCGGTATCTTTTAATCCCTCCCCTCTCAGCTTCGATGTTTCACTTCACCTACGTTACTCGAGGAGCTTAATTCTCTCGATGTTGTTGCGGTTGTCGAGATTCTCGGTCTGTCGCGAGTTGCATCTGTCAACCTTAGCTATGCTTTTCTCAGAGCAGTACATTGCCTTGTATTTCGAGACAGACATGTCTCCCGTGGCTAAGGGTAGTTCGAGTTAGGAACTCACGAGATGATGGTATTTATGTTTGCTTCGGATTTGTTCAAGTGGTTTCACAGGGCTAGTCTCTTCATGCGATGGGTTTCTTCCCTCCTCTGTATGACATACAGATGTTTAGCGACAATGACCTAATGGTTGTATTGCTCGATGTAAATCAAAATAGCTGTGCGATAGCTTTCTAATCGATTGAGCAAATTGTCCTCTATTTGAATACATCGTTCCAGTAATGGTGCGGTGTGATGTCAAAAATCAGCATAGCTGCACCTTGATACCTAGGTAGTGATTTTAATTACGCTCTAGCAATTGTCACATCACCTTCGATGAACGTCACTTGGCCAATGGGCTAGCTAGAGATAACCCCGTACTTCGTCTTAGACATTTTATCCATGCATGGGTTCTAATTGAACCACTTGTAGATCGCTCTGCACAATTCAGCCGCCCCGGGTCTGAATAGGTAGCTAATTGCCAAAGTAGGTATTCCACCGCTTGCCGCATGCTCATGCCTCTGTTTGGTGATGATTGGTCTCTACTAACCCAAACACTAACGTACGATATTAATTCATGCCTTGGCCAAGGGATCTCATTGCACCTAACGCGCTGCATTATACGCTCTTTAGAGGCACTTTGCTCCCTTTCTCGAACACGAACACGCGGTGGCTAGGTTCTCCGCGTTTCTC